CTTCTTCAACAAACAACACTATAATGAACAGAATTAGTTGTGAGCTAAGTCGAAACCAGTTATGGCAGCTCATACACGCCCTTACCATTTCAAGATTCCTGCGATACTTTGGACTTATCTCGACATTCGAATTTTGTTGCGAATCTTTGACTGTTGTAAAAATTTCAATCGATTTTATATAACAACCTGATGCAGGTTCAATCAATTCCAAATTTACCTGATGATAAATGGACTAAGTCCCATTCAAAACGATCGTCGTAAGTAGCTTGGAATTATCTTCGAAACTCACTCTCACCTTCGAATCTATGGAGTTTTCCAGTTCAGCATTTTTTTCAAAAGTTTGTTATCACACTTATTAATTGTTCAAGTGATGTTATTTTTGACTCTCATTTGTTTTCATTTATTAATGAAAATGTTTCATCCAAATTGAATAGTCTATAGTCTAACTACTTCATTTGTGCATTGATTGTTCGAAGAGCAATGGTCCTTATCATCATAAGACACAAAACTTTCATGGCACAATCGTTGAGTTAAGTGATGGCGGGTGAGTTTGCGCTATTACGTTTGAATCTTCTGTCATTGTTAAGCTTCTTATTCTTTTTGCTTATGAGAGTGGATATAGTACTTTGATTTAACAAATGCTGAAGGATTATAGTTCCTGTCAGTAACTAAGAATTTTGGCAATCAAATGTGCAGCCATAAATCAACATTAGAGTGAATTATGGACGACCGGCACTTTTGTGGCTTCTGCTGATAAGGATCATTGATCTTTGAACAATCGATAGGCAAATTAGTTAGACTATAGACTATTTAATTTCGATGAAATATTTTCAATAATAAATGAAAACAGATTAGAGTTAAAAATAGCATCACTTGAATAATTAATAAGTGTGATAACACACTTTTGTAAAAAAATGCTACAGTGGAAAGTTCCATATATTCAAATACTTTTTTGGCATTCCGTGTAAGAAAACTAGGAAGCATTCTTTCATTAATAGAAATATCCAGTTTTGTAGGGACCTAAAAGCTGAATCTTTTGATAAAGAAATTTATTTCGAAATGGCGAGAGCAGATTGAGATGTTGTAAAAATATTGCGAGGACCATTTATTTTGCTGCACGCGTTATTATGCGCCAGGCGCATAGAACAGGAATGGCGATCGAATGATGACAGCGCTTTTTTCTTTGTCGCTTTTGCATTTAATCTTCATGTTTTTCTTTTCTGTCACCGGTTAGAGGTAGAATCGAGAACAACGCAAACGTAAACGGTTCTGTGTCCTTTTATTATAGACGCAAATCCTCAAAGCAAATATAATGTGTTACTTCCTCGGAAGAAAATTTTTCGTATTCGTTTCATGATTGACATTTGTTTATTGCTCAAAAACTATAAGACGAATTGTAATGAGTTCATTGAGAAAATATTTGATTTCGATGCCCATTCTGATAGATATAAAATGTTTCCGTATCACAACACGTAGAGTACGTGAGAATGCTAAAGACAATAACTCAACAATATTATAATTTGAGAAAATCAAACATGAACTTACTCGATCAAGGTTTATTTGACAGCTACGTCATGTTGATATTTCTTCGATGATAAAGTTGCTCGTCGATTATTTTCTCTTAGTAAACACTTGCGCATAATAATGGTAAGAATCAAACTGACAGCCAGCATTCCGCTACAGATCACATGACCGCGTTGATAGACCGGCTTATCATCTTTTCTATATATCTACGAACAAAATATTGCTATAAATACTCTTTTAAAATCATTGAGATGTTACAAATCGACTTCAGAACTTATTCCATAAGTTATCACACGCCGAAGTCTTACCAGAGGTGTGACAATGCCACTCATTTCACCAATACCGATAACGAAACTAATCGTCATTGCTTCTTTTGTATGACCACCAACATTATTTGTTAACCAAGAGACCAGTAAAGGAAATGTAGGAAATATAAAGATCTAGATGACAGCTATGTAAGGTTTTTCTGTCGTACAATTTTCGTAAAAATTATGTTAAAAGCTAGTTTTTAAGCCCTTTTTTCTTCATTTTAATGATCTGCAAAATTTTTCATGTAGTTTTTAAACTCAATATTTTGCAGTAACGGAATCAATATACATTTTTTGTGAAAAATTTCACGATGAATCATGTATCAAAATATTTATCTCAATGAAGTGTAGAAACAAGGACTCAAGCTGAAAATACTAAAGACTACGATTATTTATGTGTCATCTATTACTATAATTTTCTAGCAGATATTTCATATGACACATTGCTCAGGGATATATCACTCATAAATCTATACTTCATGCATTGAACCTAGAATTATTTTTGTAAGAGAATAGTATACGGTGCTTATTCATAGACGTGTATCTTGACACTTAGAGTAAGGTGTCGTAGAGTGTTGTGGCGTAAGGAGTCTCTGATGCAATGTGCACTTCGTTGACAAATAGAAACAGAGAAATTGTATCATCCCACGCCCTCTCTTCATATTCGATCTCGTTACTATGGTTGTCTTCTGCTCGTTCTTAAATAAATTAAGCATATTTGTGTTTTAGTATCCTTAAATCGTCTTTACATGTCTTTTAATTATTTATCATTAACAAACTTTCATCTCGTCCTAAAATTACTTCCCAATCTAAAACATTCAACATTTTCAACATGGACTTTCGCTTTGAACTTTGCTTCATCAACAATATGGCACGAGTTTATTTCCACAAACCTGTTAAAATTAGAAAAACTTCAATTCTATATACGAGTCACTAGTAAGTTCCGTGTTATTCAGTATTCGTCCGTACATATAAATTGTAATACTTATTTCACTTGAGATGATGCTATTCAGCAGTGTCGGTCACC